AAAAAAAAAAACAAAAAAAAAAACAAAAAAAAAAAGAAAAGCAGGTCCGGTAGTTCTAACAATGGATATGATTCCCCACCATTCAGCAAAACACATTCATTACCTGAAAACTTTTACCCCTCTCTCTCTCTCTCACACACACACACACACACACACACACATTGTACAACACCTCGTAGCAGAATTTTACACTGGATTGGAGATGCAAATGTGATTGGGACTGGACAAGGATAGTGTACCTTCCAACTCCCCCCTCTCCCCTACCCATCAACCCCGCACCGTGCCTCCCACTCAGTCCCTTTCTGCCCGGAGTCAAATTTCTCTCTGTTTTTACTACGTTTTTTCTATGCGCTAGCAACAGCACAGGCCAATTCGACCATCTTCTGCAGCTTGGTGGTATCCGCACCCACAACCAGCTGTGTCTTGGGGTCTGCCACCTGAGACTCTCCAGGTTTCAGAAGGATGAAAGTGGGCATGGCACCTATTTTGTAAATTTCGCACAATTCCTGCAAAAAAGAAAGACGACAAGGAAAAAAGGACACACACAGAGAGAGAGAGAGAGAGAGAGAGAGAGAGAGAGAGAGAGAGAGAGAGAGAGAGAGAGAGAGAGAGAGGACAAGCATTCCACCACCGAAGGCCGAACCATCATCATCAGCTATATGTACGGGTCGACAGACCATTACTGTTAACAAAATAGAGAAAGGCCACACATTGCACAAAAGGTTAAAAGAAAAAGAAAAAAAAAAAGTCCACTCAACGTCGTTAGAAAAAAAGAAAGCAGCCCCGTTGTAAAAAAAAAATCCATCAACATCATTTAGTTTAGCGCTGTGTTCTGATTTCAGGTCCATGTCAGCTTTCCTGTCCTAAGTTTCTTTTTTCTTTTTTTTTCAATTTGGACCATTTGTCAGTTGATATGCATATCATCCTTGTTTTTTTTCCTTTGTCATCGAGTGTTTTTCCTCTCCTCTCCCGAAAAAAAAAAAAAAGCTATTTCTCAGATTCTCTGTATCGTTCCAATTTCGACGGATGTTGGAGCCCTACCTTTGAAAGCATTTTCACAAAGTGTTTAGCCTTTGTTGGGCAGTTGTTGATACTTAACCACAACAGGGGTTAAGGTGGATTTTTTTTTTTTTTTTTTTTTTTTTTTTTTTTTTTTTTTAATTAAGGTGGATTATCACTTACAGTGTGTAATCAGTTTGGGGATTCTGCAGACTGTTGAGGGTTCAGCCTCCTGATAAGTCTGTTGGTGAACTCCAACGAAACAGTTCGTCGTTTCTTGTCCTCTTCTGAGTCTTCTGTCTCTCTCTGCCTACGGTTTACCGGGCAGCTCTGTTTGACTATATAGTAGTATATACTAGAGCCATGCAAAAAATCGGCACCAACATTTTTAACGTTTCTGGACAAGCTTTTAGACTAGAGACGTGCAAAAAGTCGGTATCCGACAAAGTGGTGCGGCGAGCCTGTTGAGACTCACCTGCTGTGCGCTATGCTGAGTCATGCAGCAAGCCCATCTTGAAGGTGCCTTTCGTGAAGGAGCCTATTTAGCGTCTTTTGACTTCTTTTTTATCTACTCGTAAACAAGGAAATTCTGTTTTATGTCTTTGAATCATATTGATTTTTGTTTTCCAAAACATATTTTCTTATTAAGAGTTTTTATGACTTGGCTCAAGCCGCTGCGCCAGCTTTTTCCAATCTTTATTACGGTAACCTTGAAATGTGCTTTGTTTTCTTGAAGCCTATTTATAATTTATTGCCTTTTCAGTTCACCTGACAAAAGTGGTTTACACAACTTCACGGTTAAAGAAAGGCTGTTGCCTGTTAAAGGTTCTGGTGGTTTAAAGTGCAGTGGAACCTGTCCCAACCGTTCCAGTTCCAGTCCCATTCCCAAGACCGAGTCCCACTTACTGAATTACAGTCCCAGCTGCTCAGTTCTGGTCCCAACTCCTCCATTCCACTCCCAACTTCTCAGTTCCAGTTCCAGTCCCAGTCCCAGTCCCCACTGCTCAGTTCCAGTGCCAGTTCCAACTGCTCAGCTCCAACTCCTCAGTCCCAACTCCTCAGTCCCACTCAGTGCCAACTGTTTGCCTGTTACAGGTACTGGTTGTTTAAAGCACAGTGGAACCTGTCCCAACCGTTCCAGTTCCAGTCCCATTCCCAAGGCCGAGTCCCACTTAATTCCAGTCCCAACTGCTCAGTTCCGGTCCCAACTCCTCCATTCCACTCCCAACTTCTCAGTTCCAGTTCCAGTCCCAGTCCCAGTCCCAGTTCCAGTCCCCACTGCTCAGTTTCAGTGCCAGTTCCAACTGCTCAGTTCCAACTCCTCAGTCCCACTCAGTGCCAACTGTTCAGTTCCTGTCCCAACTTTTCACTTCCAGTCCCAACTTTTCCGCAACACAACCAACACTCCCGTCTAGTAAAGAACTCAGTAAAAATAAAGGAATTAGGGGATTAAGGAATTAAGGAATTAGGGAGGGAATTGGGGACTTTAGGGGAATGATTTAAACCACCAGTATATCCGAAAAAGAAGCAGATTGAGCCTCTCCTAAAAATTTGGAGGGCATGGACCGTTGATAAAATGAATCGGCGGCTCATGGCATCCCTGTTTTTTTAGGAGAAGCTCAATTTTCTTTTTCGGATGTACTGGCGGTCTAAAGGAAGAAAGGCAGGAAAGAACTACGAGAGGGATCAAGTCAGAAATTAATTATGAAGTAAGAAATTAAAAAAGGAATCAAGGAATTAAGGGAGGAATTACGACAGGGAATAAAGGAAGGGAGGAATTATACGTTCGACTCCCAAAGTGAGGAATGAATATCCAAGCATCCCCCAAGGAAGGAGCCAAGGAAGGGATTAAGTAAGGAATTAAGTAAGACATAATAAAAGTAATAAACTGCGTAATGAAGTAAGGTATTAAGGAAAAAAATTAAGGACATTTTATTTTTTTTAAAAGGAGAAACAACATCTCCCAAGAAAGAAAGGAATTAAGGGATTAAGGAATAGAGTTCCATAAAGGCAGGAATTAAGAAATAATAACTTCAATAAAGGCAGTAATTAAGAAATAATAAACTTCAATAAAGGCAGGAATTAAGGAATAAAGGCAGGAATTAAGGAATGAAGGCAGGAATTAAGCAGGAATAATAAAGGCACGGAGGAAGCAACAAAGGAAGGAAGAAGGGGACAAAAAAAAAAAAAAAGAAGGGGACGTTCGGCCCTTCCGCTCGTAGTGTGAGGCGGAAATGTCAACAAACAAACGACAAAGAAAAGGAAGGAATGAATTTCGGAATCAAGGAGGGAATTACGTCCACGTTCACAAACAACATAGAAAAGGGAGGAAATCTTACCGCTGCGTGATCCACGTCCACTTTGACAAATATAATATTGGGATATTTCTTCGACAGTTCTACGATCAGAGGGCCAATTCTGCGGCATGGGCCACACCACACTGCTGTGAAGTCTACGATGACCTGCATCCATCCCATTTGCATTTAATGAAGAGAAGAGGAAGAGGAAGACGAAGACGAAGGGGAAAAGGAAGAGGAAGAAAGCAGGGGAATAGTCAAATGGAAAAAAAAAAGGGGAGGGGGGGGGGGGGGGGGAAGAAGGAAAAGAACAAAACAACGTGAAGAAGAAACCAATTCTGAATCAGAGAAGGAAAAATCCAAAAACGCAAATGAAGAAACCAAATTAAAAAAAAGGAAAAACTATATAAAATTATTAAAATTAAATGATATATGAACTTCTGTGATCACCTCGTATCCATAAACGAAGAGTCTTGATAACAATTTGAAATGACAGTCCATCCTAAATAATTTCATTTAATTATTAAAAAATTAATTGGCATACAGACACAGATTACGTTGTCATGAAAAAAAAAAAAAAGATCTACTAGACTGTGAATTGACCAGATACAATCTGGAGTGCATTTTCTGGCTGTGACAGAGCTTTTATTTTTTTTTGTTTTCCCTTTCGTCAGACCTTTTTTCTTAGTTTTTCGTCGGTGCTTTAATGCTTATGATGGGGTTTCAAACCCTGCAGTCTGTGGAGTTTTCCGCTGGCTGTGGGGTGAGTGATGGCCTGCTGTGATCTTCGTCACAGGTACCCCTGAGGGCAATGGTCCGGTGGTCCCCACCACCTCAGGGTATCCGGCAGTCGTTGACGCTTAACCGCAACGGGAGTTGAGGGGGTTTATATCACTTTCAGTATCATCAGTTCGTGAACACTTCAGACTCTCGGTGGTCCCCACCACCTCCTGATGATGAGTACTATCACAGGTGAAACTTCGACAAAACAGCCTGTCACAGCACCTCGTTTGTTGTCCCCTCTTCTCCATCTCTCCCAACAGCTTACCGGGCAGTTCTCTATGACAATATATATCGTCACATAGATATCAGAGCGCAAAAGCGAAAAAAACAAACAAAGGAAACAAAACAATATCAATTTTCATCTTCCTTACAACTCCCCCTGTTCAGAACCTCTTGCGTACAAGGCCGCCCACGTGGATGTAGGTTGAGCGGCGGCTGCCCCCACCCCCGTCAAAACAATATCAATTCATTTTCCATCTTCTTCCTTACAACTCCCCCTGTTCAGAACCTCTTGCGTACAAGACCCCGCCCACGTGGATGTAGGTTGAGCGGCAGCTGCCCCTTCCCCCGTGTGTCATATCGACCCACTTGCACACAGCCAAAAGGCAAAGAGGCAAAGAAAAGAGGAAGGGAACAGCCAAACATTACAGAACAGGGGGCAAACGAATCCTAGATGACAAGTCCCACATGCAAACACCGCCCCCGACAGCACAGGCCAAAAGACGGGACAAACCAGCCAGGATCCAAGACACGGGAACTGTGAGATGGTTGAACGATGAGCCAGGCCATTTTCAACATAAATGAATACCAGAGAACAAATTCTACCATATCCATAGCAAAGAATCTGAAGCAAAGAACACCTTATCTGCAAAAAAAAGAAAAAAAGACAATCCCAGATGACGATTCCCTCGTAAAAGCACCGCCCCCCGTGTAGGCCGAACAACGGGAAACAGCCAACCAGGATGCCCCAAGACGATAAAAAAGGAAAAAACCGGATGACCGTGACAATCCTAGATGACAAGCCCCACATGCAAACACCGCCCCCGGCAACTACAGGCCTAACGACGGGACAAGACCAGCCAGGATGTCATACCAAAAAAAAGGAGGACCCGGATGACCAGTCCCACATGAAAGCACCGCTACCAGGATCAACCAGGCAACATCCCAAATAGCCGAACAACGGGACAAACCGGGACGCAGACAAGGCAAAATCAGCTCCGATCCACAATGTGACAACCAAAAAACAGGAAGAGAAGAGTCCCGGATACGATTCCCACATACAAGCACCGCCCCGCGCTCAAAAGGCCGAACAACGGGAACACACCAGGATACCAAAAACTCGAATGACTGGTCCCACGTGAAAGCACCGCCACGCCCATAACATAGCCCGAACAACGGGACCAAACCAACCGGGATACAGACAAGATCACCAAAACAAATTCTACCATATCCATAGATAAAAAAACGGAACCATACAGTAGGTCCGTAAAACGAAATACCCCCTACAAAGCGGGAGAGCAACACAAGAAAGTATGGGATGACAGGACAATGACTCAGGCTATTTTCGACGCAAAGCGGGAGAGCAACACAAGAAAGTATGGGATGACAGGACAATGACTCAGGCTATTTTCGACGCAAATGAATTCTTGCATGCATTAACAAGAAAATCAAAAAAATATTTTCTAACATAACCAAAGAAGAGCCTGCTAGTACAGGCCCGACGCTCGCCGCATCATCTACAAAAGCAGAGAGCTATATATTGTCACACTATAAATCGCAGCGCAAAGGCGGAAAAAGACAACAAGAAAAGGAAAAGAAGGAAAGCCCCACCTGTTCATCACCCAGAGAGAGAGAGAGAGATCGTCACACCATGTATCGGAGCGCAACGGCGAAAAAAACAAAACAGACAAAGGAGAAGGAAGGAAGTAAAGCTCCGCCTGTTCATCACCTCTTACGTACAAGGCCAGCCACGTGGATGACAGGTTGAGCGCTGGTTGGCCCCATCCAGCGTGTCACAAGGACCCACTTGCATGCAGCCAAAAGGCAAAAAAGAGGTAAAGAAAAGGAGGAAAGCAAACCTGACAGGGAAAGGGAAAGAAAGCCTATCAGTCAAACAAATCAGTCAAACAAAGCAAATGACACATCCCACAAATAATCCAATTGCCACAAAGCAAATAACACATTCCACAGATCTACATATTTTCACTTTTTTTCTTGGTTTCTTTTTTTTTTTCTTTTTTTTCTTCTTTTTTTCCTTTTTTTTTTTCTTTTCTTGAACTTCGTATCTGTCGGTAGTGTCGAAGGCTTTATCTGTCCCCACCTCGGCAGATAGGACAGCTACGGTGAGGACGATGTGGATGTTGAAAGGGATACCCAAGGAGAGCTGCGCCAGCACAGCATTCAGCAGGACGGCTAGCATGAACCATCCCATCATAACAGTCCTGACAAAGGACATGCTGTCCACATGTCAAAAAAAAAAAAAAACAGCAGGACGTTCATCGCAGTGCGGCATCATGCAGTCCTGATAGCGTCGTCCTTGCGCACAAAAGGGACAACGCATATCTGGGTGATAGGGACGTGTACGATGAGGAAATGTTGGACACCCTTCCGTACAGACGGCGGCAGCAATCGCAATCACAATAGATTGATAATGGTTATGGCATAGATGATGCATTCCACAGCCAAGGCGGAAAAAAAAGACAAAACAAGAAAAGGAAACGAAGCAAGGAAGGAAGGAAAGCCCCACCTGTTCATCACATATATAATTGTCACACTGTGAATCAGAGCGCGAAGGCGGAAAAAGACACAACAAGAAAAGGAAACGAAGGAAGGAAAGAAAGCCCCACCTGTTCATCACCTCTTACGTACAAGGCCGGCCAAGTGGATGATGGTTGAGCACCGTATATACACACGCACATACATATCGTCACACAGTGTACACGCACATGTATATCGTCACACCATGTATCGGAGAGCAAAGACGAAAAAATACATAACAGAAAAAGGAAAGACATAAGGAAGCAAAGCTCCGCCTGTTCATCACCTCTTACGTACAAGGCCGGTCACGTGCATACATATAAAATATAGATAAATCATAAATACGAGGGTTCAGTCTCTTGATGAGTCGGTGAGACTCTGACGGAACAGTTTGTCGCATTCCCTGCAGTGATTTGTTGTCCTCTTCTCTTCTCCCTCTCTCTGCCTACAGTTTACCGGGGTCAAGTCCCACTAGCAGCGTTGAGCTACCTCAACGCTTGAATCTGGACGTGTTTGTGGGGACGTGCAGTTCAGGAAACTCGACACCATTTCTGCACACCTCCGCAAAAGCGTCCAGATTCAGGCGTTGAGGTAGCTCCACGCTGCTAGTGGTACTTGGCCCCTGGGGGCAATTGAGGGGGGGAGAGCACAACACGGATATTTGGTTTAGCTCCACTTGTCTTGAAATGTGCAAAACGATAATGAATCTTCCGTTAAAACAATGGAAAGATACACCGCCATCACTCTTGACTTTTGTGCGTGTTGAGAGAGATGGAGCGACGACGCCCATTGGGGGCGTCAGAAAAAGAAGGAAAAGAAAAGAAAAGAAAAGGTCACTTGAGTTGAGGCAAAAAGGCCGGTAGGTCCTTCGGGACATCCGTTAAAATTGGAACGATACAGAGAAGATTAGCATGGCCCCTGCGCAAGGATGACACGCATAAATCGAGAAATGGTCCAAATTATTAAAAACACACACACACACACACACAGAGGAAGGACCAGCCTCGCCCGCTGCTGTGTTCATGCTTGTGTTCATGGTTGGAAAGGATGCTGCAAGCATGAGCCTGGCCGTAGTAGCCGCCAGCTCGATGCATTCACATTCAA